ACGCTCGGCACGGCGGGGGGGCAGGCTGCGGCGCTCGGCGGGGGGTTCCCACGGCGCAGCGCTCGGTTGGGAGGGTTCGGGGGGCAGCAAAAAAGCTAGAGCCGGCCCTGGTTGGGGGCACATGTAGGAGGGGGGCATGTAGGGGGATAGGTTGGGGAGGGGGCAGGGGGATTCTCTACAGCAGCCCAGGCTACAAATTAAATTTGTTTTTAACCCAAAGCCAAGATGGGGGGGGAGTGCAAAGTCAGGGGCCTGCAGGAGGTGCTCACGGGCAGCCTGGGGGGTGGAAGTTGGGGAGGTTGTGTATTGGGGTGGTGGCAGTGGGAGGGTCAGGGATGGGATTTGGGGGGCCGTGGGGGGTCAGGGATGAGCAGGGGGAGCTCAGGGGTGTTTGGTATCAGAGGAAGGGAGTAGGGGCTGGAATCAGGGGAAAGGTGTCAGGGAGTACTGGGGTGGTGGGAGGAGGGGAGTTGGGGGCTGTGGAGGGTCAGGTATGGGCAGCGGGAGGGGAGTCAGAAGTCGGTGGAGGGGCATTCGGGGGGTGTCAGGGGGGTCTGGGTTGGGATGGTGGGGGGGAAGGATTCAGGGGTGTCGGCTGGGAATCACGGGGCAGGAGTTAAGGAGTATCAGGGCAGCAGTTGGGGGTGGGTGTCGGGAGCAGAAGAGTTGGGAGTGGAGAGCGTGGGAGGAGGTTCAGGGCGGAAGTTGGGGGCAGTGGGCAGTAGGGGGTGTCGGGTATCTGGGGGGCGGAAGTTGGGGGCCGTGGAGAGGGCAGTCGGGAGGTGGACGTTGAGGGGTATCGGGGCAGTGGGGACCGGAGCTCTGGGTAGTCCCTGCGCAGGACACAGGCCGGACTGTGGGGATCACACTCGGACGCCGGGGTCCCCCCGCCTTCGCTCACCGGCCCGGAGCTGCAGCAGCGCCGCCGCCCGCCCGACCCGGGCTCCCGGCCCCGGGGCCCGACCCGCAGCACAGCCCGGCCGCCCGCCCGCAGCATCCCGCAGCCTCTGAGCCCGAGCCCGCCCCCGGCACGGCAGTTGGGAAATGTGGCCGCCGAGGGAAGAGAGGTTTAACGCCAGGGGGGAGGGGATTCATGCGGGGGAGCTGCGGGGGGAGGGGTTTAAAGCGGGGGAGGGGATTAACGCGGGGGAGCTGCGGGGGGAGGAGTTTAACGCGGGAGCTGCAGGGGAAGGGGATTAACGCGGCGCGGGGACTCGGGAGGGAATTAACGCGGGGGAGCTGTGGGGGGAGTGGATTAACTCGAGGGAGTGCTGCGGGGAGAGGGGCTTAACACGGGGGAGTGGAGCAACCCGGGGGGACCTGCCTCATAGGATCTCTGTGCCACCCGTGCCCCTCTGGAGGCTGGGGCGCTTTGGGTGCTTTGCTCCCGCCTCCCCCACACCCAGCTGGGGCACCAGGGAGAGCCCAGCCTGCACGCTCTTAGGGTGGCGGCCAGGATGTATGGGACCCGGCCCACCTCCCCCATTCTACTCCCAGCCCCTCTTGGTCCCCAGCCAGACACACATGAGTAGGGTGACCAGATCTCCCGATTTTATAGGGACAGTCCCGATTTTTGGGTCTTTTTCTTATATAGGCTCCTATTACCCCCCACCCCCGTCCCGATTTTTCACCCTTGCTGTCTGGTCACCCTACACGTGAGTCACTCTGAACTCCAGGGCTGCCAGGTGCCCGTATCCCAGCAAAGGCCCCTGGTGCCACTCGTACAGGTGTCAGCTGCAGGGTGCCATTGGGCTGCGTGCCTGCCATGCCCATGACAGCGTGGCTGCGGCACCTGCCCAGCTCCCCAGGATTTTGGGCTGTGGAGCACGGCTCCAAATGTGGGTTGCTCACGGCCTGGTGCTCCCAGCCCCTGCGGCAGCATCCCTGGGCTCAGGGTGGCCATATGTACACCTGTGCACACAACTCATCTTTGGGAGCCAGCCTTTGGCTTGTCATGGAGCCCCAGGAGTGGCACTACACCTCATCCTTGGAGGGTCCCCTCAGTGTGCCAGAGCCCAGGGCAGGGCACCTCTGAGGCTGAGCCCCAGCCTGCCTGCTTCACCCAGTTGCTCTGCCCAGCAAGTCCTGGTCTACATTGCAAAGTGAGGTCTGGGTGAATCCGTGTGTGTGTCTATGCTCGCACCTTTCTCCCACTACCCAGGACAGCAACGCTGTAACAACACTGCAAGAACAGCTCAGTGGGTTGAGTATTGGCCTGCTAAACTCAGGATTGTGAGTTCAATCCTTGAGGGGGCCATTTAGGGATCTCAGGCAAAAAAATCTGTCTGGGGATTAGTCCTGCTTTGAGCAGGGGGTTAGACCAGATGAGGTCCCTTCTAACCCTGATATTCTATTACAGAATGTGTGACCTTAGTAGTTCTCCTACACCCATCCCACAGTGCCCCTCTCCCCATGATAGCACCAGTCCTGGTTCTAACCTCCACTGCCTGGGGGGCACAGAGTCTGGAAGCCCTTCTCCCACCTTTTAACCTCCTGCATGGTTCTGAAATGCCTTTTTCTGAGTGCTCACCTTAAGTGAGCACAGCTGACAGCTCACGCTTGTTGTGTGTACCTGCCCAACCACCCAGGCCAGCTCCACACACCCAGAACTGCTTAGATGCACTCCTGCCTGGAGCTACTGGAGTTCCTGAGCTGGCAGGGAGAAGAGGCTGTGCAGGCCCAGCTACGGCCCATCACGTTGCACAGGGGCTGCAGGAGAAGGGGCATGCAGTGCCGTGCAATGGATGGCAATCAGATATTTGGTAGTGCCTCACAGACCTGCTGCTTATACGAGCTCCATGCCCACCCACACCTCAGAGACCACTGGGGACACCTTGGAGGAGACCCCAGCTGTGAACAGCGAGGCAGGAGAGGAGGAGGAGGAGGGAGACATGGCAGGGGGCCAGGCACTGATTGAAACTGCAGTGTTTAGCCAGTCCTGCCAAGCCAACATGGATGAGGCTTCTGAGCATGGGAAAGGGAGCGCAGGGAAGTATCTACATACATTTGTGATTAAATGGGATTTGTTTTAATGTTTTGTGTGAATAATGTGTGTGCCTCAATTTTCCCTATGTGTTGCACAAGTATCTAGTGGGTGGGACAGGTGTGTGTGATCTGTGATCAAGCAGAGGCCACTAAAGCAGTGGCTCTCAGTCAGGGGTTCACAGAAGTCTTCCAAGGGGTACATCAACTCATCTAGATATTTGCCTAGTTTCACCACAGGCTACATAAAAAACTAATGAAATCAGTACAAATTAAAATTTCATACCGACAAAATGAGAACGTCAGCAGTGTTCTAGTAATAGAGTGCTGTGACATTTTTGTATTTTTATGTCAGATTTTGCAAGCAAATAGTTTCTAAGTGAGGTGAAACTTGGGGTACGCAAGAGAAATCAGACTCCTGAAGGGGGACAGCAGTCTGGAAAGGTTAAGAGCCACTGGACTAGAGGGCAGGTGTGGCTACCTGGGCACAGACAACTGATGGCCAGGGCCCATCCTCTGCAGGAGTGAGCCGGAGGCAGAGGTGAGCTGGAGCCGGTTTGCACCGTTTCGCAGGAACCGGTTGTTAAATTTAGAAGCCCTTTTAGAACCGGTTGTCCAACCGGTTCTAAAAGGGCTTTTAAATTTAAAGTGGTGCCTTAGGCACTGACTCCGTGGGTGCTCCGGCAGCTCCCCGTCCCGCCCCTAGCCCCAGCTTACCTCCGCTCCGCCTCCATCTCCTCCTCCTCCCCCCCCCAACGCTCTGCCCCGCTTCTCCTCTCCCCTGCTTCCAGAGAATCAGCTGTTCACGCGGGAAGCCTGGGAGGGCTGAGAAGCAAGCGGCGGCTTTGCGCTCAGGCCCAGGGAGGCGGAGACGGCGTGGGGGTGAGCTGGGGTGGGGGGGGCGCGAGGAGGGCTGCCCGCACTGCGGCAGGTAACCCCCTGCTCCTCCCCAGCTACGCTACCCCGCCTCTAGGAGCCAGAGGGACCTGCCGGATGCTTCCCGGGAGCTGCCCCAGGTAAGCACCGCCGGGACTTCGACTCCCCACCTCACCCCGGCAGGTCCCTCTGGCTCTTAGGGGCGGGGCGGGGTGGGCACCCACTATGGTGGCCCACGAGACCCTCCTGCCTGGCTGCTGAGCTCCCGGCCGGGGACGCTAGTCCCTGGCTGTTCCCCCTTCCCCGCAGCTTCATCTCTCCCCACCGCCAGCGCATGCTCTGGGCGGCGGGCTGAAAGCTCAGCCTGACCCGGTGCTCCAGGCGCTGCGCGGCGGCGGCATGGCCTGGCTCCAGCCGAGCAGCGCGGCCCGGCTCCAGCCGAGCAGCATGGCTGTAGCGCTGCCAGCCACAGTGCTCCATGTGGTGCGCGGTGGCGGCGGCCTGACCCGGCTCCAGCTGAGCGGCGCGGTTGTAGCGCCACCAGCCACCTCCAGGCAGCGCGGTAAGGGGGCAGGGAGCAGGGAGGGGGTGTTGGATAGAGGGCAGGGGAGTTCGGGGTGGTGGGGTGGATAGGGGTCAGGGAGCGGTCAGAGGGTGGGGAACAGGGCAGTCAGGAAGAAGCAGGGGTTGGATGGGGCGGTGGGAGGCAGTCAGAGGCAGGGGTTCCAGGGGCAGTCAGGGGACAGAGAGAAGGGATGGTTGGATGGGGCAGGGGTTCTGGGGGGCCATCAGGAATGAGAGGAGGGGTTGGATGGGGTGATGGGGGGCAGTCAGGGGACAGGGAAGGGGGGTGGATGGGGCAGAGGTCCCCGGGGGGGGCATCAAGGAACACGGGGGGTGGATGGGGCAGGGGTCCCGGGGGGGCGTCAAGAAACACGGTGGGTTGGATGGGGCAGGAGTCCCGGGGGGTGGGAGCGGGCCACGGCCCCCTTGTGGGGTGAGGAGGGAATCGGTTGTTAAGATTTTGGCAGCTCATCACTGGCCAGAGGTGAGAACAAAGCAAGAGGTGGAGGCCAGGGGACCGAAAGAGACAAAGGCTGATGAGGGGGCACTAGGCGTGACTGTGGGGAGGCCGCTGGAAGCCAGTCAGTCTCCTGGTTTGGGACTGGGGGGGGATCCCCCAAGATGGATTTTGCTGTAACTTCCTGCTTTTGGTGCTAAAAAGCTCTATTCTATGCTGTGTTCCACACAACTAATAAACCTTTTGTTTTACACATGCTGCAAGTCACTGCTAACTGCGGAGTGGGGTGCAGGGCCCCTCTGGGGGTGTGTGAGGCTTCCCCAGGTGGCCCATCCAGGGGGTCTCATTGCAGGGAGCTCATGGTGAGAACAGGTGCTTTTCTGCAAAACTGCTGGTTAGCCAGTCGGTCCCCAGCCTGTAGCGGTGCATGGGATTCTTCCTTCCCAAGTGCAGGACTCTGCACTTGTCCTTGTTGAACCTCATCAGGTTTCTTTTGGCCCAATCCTCCAATTTGTCTATGTCACTCTGGACCCTATCTCTACCCTCCAGCATAGCTACCTCTCACCCCAGCTTAGTGTCATCTGCGATCTTGCTGAGGGTGCAATCTATCACATCATCCAGATCATTAATAAAGATGTTGAACAAAACCGGCCCCAGGACCAACCTCTGGGGCACTCCACTTGATACCGGCTGCCAACTAGACATCGAGCTGTTGATTACTACCGGTTGAGCCTGACAATCTAGCCAGCTTATAGTCCACTTGCACATGTCTACACTTGCATTGGTCTCCCCCCTCCCAACAGTGGCCCACTACGCCAACAGTAACACCACCTCTCCGAGCAGCACAGAGCCTTGGTCGATGTATGGAGGGCGACACAGTGCCAGTGTAATTACGCTGATCCTAACAATCCTCCAGCAGCTGCTTCCCACAATGCCCCACACTGACTACTCCGGTCATCATTGGGAGCTCCACTGCCCAGGGCACATGGAGAACAGAAACTCCTCAGCCCTTTAAAGCCCTGTGAATTTTTGAACTGCCTTTTCCTGATTGCCTGGCTTGGTGAGCACACCCAGCAGCTCTCCCTTACTGTGTCCAGCTGCCCAGAGACCCCCCCCCCCCCCACGCCACACGCTCCAGACACACTCCTGTCTGGAGTAAGCTGGGATATTGGATCACCTGAGCCTGTGGGGAGGAGAGGCT